TTTTTAAAAATCTTTTTGTCAATAAAAAGTTGAGATGCATTAATTTTTTTTTTTGCAGGCTCATATTATCGCAACGACAGCAATTACCAAAATGGATATCAACAACGTTCTTGGGGTAACAACGACGGAAATAACGGATACAATAATGGTTTCAAGCGTGCCGGTGGCGGTGGACCCAGAGGACCTGCGCGAAATGAACGCTCAGGACCTCGCGGACAATTTCGCACTCAGAGGGGTAACCGTAGTGGATTTGCCCCACGCAGCAAGCCTCACACGCAATAAACGGGATAAGAAAACGCTACACTAGCGTAAATACACACTAAAACACACAGTAAACTATACGCTCTGCATCCTTATAGTTTTATTATGCATTTACGCTAGATGCAGCATCACGATTCAACTGTCTATTTACGAAAAAGCTTAAGTCGGGACAATGCATTTGCAATGCGAAACGCAACTCCAAAGTAGTAGGTGTCATGCAGTGTCGCATGAGTAATACACATGATTTTCGTATTGAAGGTTCATTAAGCGAAATGTAGTTTTTGTAATACAGAAAGAACTGTATAACACAATTTTTTTATCTTTATTGCATATTTGCATGTGCATTGAATACGGAAATAAAGTTAATTGTACACAAAACATAGTTTTGCATCTGGTACAATCTGACGTTTACCTATATGGTACAAAGCTGTGTACGATGAAATGGAGTTTGAGGAATTTGTGCTGGCACTTGCTGATACTTTGCGGCTTAGGATATTTCTTAAATATGACATTGAAGTACGAATAAAACTGCAATCAATTGCATTTGAATTTGGTGTAATTACGACAAAAAGATTAAATGTTATTAAAACAGATGCAGAGATGACATTGTGATATAAAGGAAAAACAACCAAATTCAGAAGCGTGAACCTACCATGCAAGTATTATTGTATTATGACAGAAGGCAGGTTTCACAGGGCAACAACAGCTGATTACAAAGATTAGAAAAAAAAAATAATTTTATTATAAAAAAATACAAAAAAAACGAGAACTCACAAACATTTCATGTAAAGACTACAAGAACGTATTTAAAGAATAACGTTAAGATGATTATAAGTATATAATAAGCGACCTGCACGACCATCTCTTCGTCTTGCGGCGCATCGTTCCAGAGAGAATTTTCTAAGATACCAGAAAAAAAGAGGATACAGCGAGCAATGCCTTCTAAACCGCTAAATATATCTTAACTTCATACTCTGTGTCTCGGGTATGAATTTGAGGCGTAAACATAGACAATTAAAAATTTATCGAAGAATCTTATAGTTCGAGAGTTGTAAGTGACACGATATGTACAAGGTTTTTTCACATAGAGATATGTGTCGTGACACCGTACTGACTTGTATCGCAGTCGCTCCCTCATTTGTTTTTTTTCTGCGTTATTCCAAAATTCTTCGTGGTAGTCGCGCCCACACAGCCATGGCCAAGCGAAAGAGATCGCAGTGCAATGTCCTCGTTTACGATGTAACACATTACCTGATTTTTTGTATTACAAAAAAAAAGAAATGTATGATTATTTTTAAAACAGAGGAAGCGATTAGCGTGCGGGGCTTTAGCGTGTAAGTCGAGTTCAATATATGATTATTGACAAAATCCAGAAGGAGAAAGAGAGAAAAGAGGCTGTGCTTTCATAGTGCGCCGCCGATAAGTTACGCTCCACACCGCTGAACACGCGATTAAAAGTACCATTTATTGTATTTCGTTTGTACATTTGTGTTTAATCACTTTTCACCCTCCCCATTTCGATTACGTTAATCCTACAAATACCTATGTATCTTCCAAATAAAGATCTACTTCAATCCTGCTAATTCTAGCAATTTATTCTTATAGAATAATAATAATAATAATAATAATGATAATGATGATTGACTTTTTACTTCTATAATATTTTTTCTAATATTAAATGTCTCATCAATTTAGTTTTTATTTAATTATAAATATTTAGATTTCTTGCAATATTTACACTACGGTTTACAATACGGACATCGATTCTAAGAGGTTTACAATATGGATGTCCGACTGACGTGTACATACATACGTAATGTTAATTGACGTTTGTTTGTCGTAAAAATTTCCACCCAAGATATGCATTATATATGATTAACAGTGAGAATATGAAACAACATAAAGAAAATTATGAGCTTTTATATAACTTGTCCTGACATCGAAAGTATCAATGGTTATTAATTTGTAACGACGGTATACGTTCATATATGTGCAGCAAAAAAACTTTACTTACAATGTGATTGCATCTGTGATTTATATGTTCTTTAAGATAATATATTATTATTCAATTAATATTAATAAAAATACTTAAAAATTAATAATTTGTGTTACGATTAAAATAATTGCTCTCAATATAACAGACGCAACAAGTGACATTTGAAGGTTAAATAAGTTTATTACTCTGTGAACTAATCTACATATGTACCTTTTCTAAAATTTTTTCAAACTGAATCAAAGTACAAAATGCTACTACAGAAGCTATACCGCATTACAAATCGCAACAGAATTCTCCAAAGAATTATTCTGTATAAAAATAGTCGTCCAGTATACAAGGTAAAAAATAGAATTGTGTCAGGATGTAATATGGTAGTACAGTTACTTATATTTAAAAATAATTTTTTTCAGAGAGAAAACAGTATGCAAGTTGGAAGAATGTGGATGGCATCATCGTTTGCTATTATGGGAGCATGGGGATTCATAAAAGTCAAAAATGAAGATGCGGTACAAATTACAAAGAAAGAAGTTCTTGTCGCTAAGGCAGATGCTTTTTTCGATCAGGGAGATTATAAAAGTATATATGATCTATTGTCCAATTATAAGGTAATTAAAACTTTCTTGGTTGTCTTGTAATGTAAATGTTATGTATTTCTGAATATTTTCCATTTATTTAATGTTTAGGATAGTAAGGATGTTGAAATCTTGTGGCGTTTATCCAGAGCTTTATATAAAATGTCTGAAACTGCCAGTGATATTGAAGCAAAGAAACTGATTTACGAAGGATATGATCTGATTAGTATTGCCCTTGATATTCAGGAAGATCATTATGCTGTTCATAAGTGGCTCTCTATATTTCTTAATCGTAAAACTGCTTTTGAAGGCACAAAAGCACAAATAAAAGAAATATATAATGTTAAAATACATTTGCTGGTAAGATATTTAGCAAATAATGAGTTCAAACACAAAAGTAACATCTGCAAAAGTAAAATTGTAAAACTTTATAAGTTAAGATAGAAAATGCAATTTGAAATTAAATGTCATTTTATATTATAGAGAGCATCGGAATTAAATCCCACTGATGCAACAACGCTTTACATGCTTGGATGCTGGTGCTATGAGGTTTCTGATTTGGCATGGTATCAACGAAAAATAGCATCTCTCGTATTTGGTGAACCACCGACGTCATCCTTTGAAGAAGCATTGATATATCTCGAGAATGCCGAGAAAGTTGATCCAAATTTTTACAGTCACAATTTACTGATGTTAGGAAAAACATATCTAAAACTAAATCGTAAGGAAGACGCAATAAAATATTTGAAAAAAGCTGCTGAATTTCCTGCGAGAAATGATGATGATCAGAAAGCAAAACAGGAAGCGCAGAAAATATTGAGTAAAATTTAGAAAAATTAAATACGGATTGGAATATTTTTGTACTGTTTTAACTGGAAAAATATGA